TAATATTATAACACAAAAATAATAAGCAAACATGAACATAAAATTGTTAACAGACTCAATTTAAAAAAAATATAGGCAATTGTCAAAATGTCTTTAAATAGATACAAGTAGTGTTTCGATACTTATTTCTTTTTAGCTATAAATGAGTAATGTACATAAGAAACAAAAAAGAGGGAAAGAACCATTACGTAACATACAAAAAGTAAAAGACACTAAATATTCCATTATTATGCAATATTGATATGAATGGCATTTACATAAACTTAGATAAAAATTTACATAAAAAATGACTCTAATAATCTTTACATACATTAGATTATCCAGAAGGTTATTGCGTTTTTTGTTAGCTGTTTCCAATCACCTTAAACAAATTGGAAAAAGAAGAAAGCTCGATAAATACCGCTTCAATGGAGCGAAAAGAATTGTCCGCAACCAAAATAATCCATTTCTCATTGTAACGTGCTATGAAAAATGGATTTTGTTCGATAATCTTCAACATTCTGCACAATAATTAGATCATGATGAAGTGCCAAAACATTTTCCGAAACCGAAATTGCACAAAAAAAAATATGATGATTGTTGATAGTTATTAAAGTATTATATGTATATAATACCTTTTCTCTATTTGTCTTTCCTCTTCTTCCACTCTTTTTCTCTTTAACTTTAATTTATTTTATATTTCTTCTTTCCTTAACGTAACAGTCAACCTGTCAAATTGTTAAACTGTCAAACGATACGACTGAAACAAGGCGCTCAACAAATTACTATTATCGACCAATAACCAATCATCATCGCGGAAAAGAGGCAACAATGTCAATAACATGTCTTTCTTAGAGAAGTGCGCCATTTATTCCCTTTTATTATATACATTCTTCACTGTCACACAAACTGTCAAAATTTGTAATAATCGCAAATGACAGCTGCTCACAACATGAATTGAGCGCAATAAAAGAACCAATTGGCATCGCGGAAAAACGGCAACAATTCAAGTGTCACATGCCTTTATTCATATATGATTAGACTAGCAATTATAAAATTATCGATACTGCTTTCTCAATCGAAAATGCTATCATTATCGATCGTTATTAAAAAACTTTTTCGAGTGCCAACTCAATCGAAATTTCTTCGAGCCAAGAATCATAAGTTATTATTCGTTAACCACTTTCCCTCGGGAAATATTTTCTTCTCGCGCAGGCAGAGAGCGCAAAGATAACACGCACCGTTACATGTGATATTACTTTATAATTAATCTAAAGATATTTTAAGAGATTGAATTTAATGAAACAATCTAATATCTAAGGGAAAATAAAAAAGTGAAAAAATATATTTAAATATATTTTTGTTCAAGGGTGCATTGCTCGGGGCAGGAGCCTCTGTGATTGGAATCGGTTCGGACTTGGGTGGCTCTGTAAGATTGCCGGCTCTTTTCAACGGCATTTTTGGGCACAAGCCTACGGCTGGTAAGTTTATTTTTTCCTAATGCATGCTTCCATTCATAATATGTCAACTTTTGTCAACTTTTAATTTATTTCTGTTTTCTTAAAGATATTTATATATTAATTTATCGTACACTTTTCTTCTCGCAGAAATTATTTCGAACATAGGACATATCCCGGAATCCGAGGACAAATTTTATCAAAAATTTCTGACCTTTGGTCCGATGACCAGATACGCGGAAGATCTTGGGGTGTTTATGAAAGTGCTGACATCCACAAGCGATCACAATCTACGTCTAGAAGTGCCGGTGGATCTACGGCAATTGAAGGTCTACTACCGGTTCGGCATGGACGATGCATTAGGCACGTTACCAGTAGTGCCGGAAATCAAAGATTGCGTTCTGAAAACCGTGACACATTTTACGCAATATGATATTCGTCCGGAGAAGGTATTCACGACGTTTATTTATAGAGCGTGTTTATTTTATAAAATGTAAAATTTGACACAGAGCTGCTCGACATGTTGCAGTTGCCGATAGAATGGCCAACCGAACTGATTGAAATTGTGTTATGTATGTTTTTTTCTATAAAGGAAATCTCTAATTTGTTGGTAGATGCCAGCGATCCCAAGGTATTTGTTTTATGTACACAAAACACAAAATATTTTCTTTTTAAAAAACATGGACAAAAATTATTGCATCAAATAACTTGAATTTATAATCGTAAAATATAATTTCGTTTCTGATGAAGAAATAATAGAAACATTTAAATAGTCAGCTAACTCTCTTGTCGACATGTGAAAGTAACGTTCGTGTCTTTTCCATGCAACGTTGAAAAAAATGCAGACGATATTCACTGTAAAACTACATTGCGCGGCCGTATTGCGCAATATTGCTGCAACGTTGTTTTAAAATTAGAATGTAATATCTTTACATCTACACGTTACATTGTAGATATAAAACGATACGAAAATTGTTTTCTTTATCGAAAAATAAACAATTCGAAAATATATTTTTTATTGTATTTATATGCAAACAAAATTCGTATCCTCTGATATTTTCTTTTGTTGCAGTTGAAAAAAAATCCAGCCATCGAAATTCTGAAAATTCCTTTCGGTTTGTCGCAACACACGATGCAGACTACCTTCTTCGCCTTAATGTTCGAGACGCATTTTCCATTCTCAGAATCAGATATATCGCATTACACGAAGCAGGGAAAAGCGATTCGGCAGAAGCTGCTGGTTAGTGTCTCGAGATCTTAACATCAATTATCGTAACTGTCTCTCTATTCTCATCGTCTCTCTTCGTTTCTTGCGCAGGATCTTTTGGGAGAGAACGGAATATTTATTTATCCGACTTTCCGATGTCCGGCGATTTTCTCAGAATTTATGCTGTGTGAAACATTGAACGAAGTCTATTGCGCAATTTTCAATGTTTTTGGCTTTCCTGCAGTGCACATACCGATGGGACTCAACCACGAGGGATTGCCCATTGGTGTTCAGGTAAGCCAATCAAATATGGTACTCTTTCCATATAAGAACACTACAAACATTCGAAAAATGCGATAACAATCACCTGGTCTAAAATGTTTTATGAAGCAAAGTTGTATTTAAAAAAAATTTGTAGGTGATAGCCGCACCTTATCAGGATCGCCTCTGCTTGGCAGTTGCAAAAGAACTGGAGACTGCTTTCGGTGGTTGGGTGCCGCCGTCGATATCGTTAAACAATTAACAATTATCTGCATGGTTTATTTTAGAAATTATTATTTAAGCTTAATTGTATATTAGATCTTTTTGTAGCATAGAAAATTGCGCGCACATAATGAAGCATAGAGCTATTGCAATAAATTTTTGACTTTCAGATAGCTGTTTAAGGGGAAAAAAATCTTGGGAATGTGATATGATCAAATAAAATATATTTTGTTTCTTGTTAAAGATATATATATATATATATATATATATATATATATTTTTTTTTTTTTCTTAATAACACACTATCATATATAATTATATTAATATATACGCGCGTGCATCACATATATACGTGAATAGACTAATCACTATTATAGTTTCATAGTTTGAAATTTTTGCAAAACCTTCGTTAGGTTTACTTCGACGTATATCACTACATGTTTGTTTTCTAATTATTCAATAATTCCATCCCCACTGTTGCACTGTTGTGTAATAAATCATTTATAATATATATGTTTATTTGCATTCTTTTTATTGCATTTTTTTAATTATTCAAAATGTTTATACGATAAATATTATCGCTATTGAATAGATCTTACTACTTACTAGTTATAGAAATAACATCATTACATTTGTATATAGCTCGAAAACGATGCATAAGCCTAATACAAGGAACCTCGACTATATCTCGTATTCTATACATATATGTAAATGTTTAGAAACATAAATACTGCAGAACAAAATAATTCGCGATAACGTATAGTTCTTTATTTACGCATTCTTTCTTTTTTAAAACATCACATTTTACATGATATTATGTATCATAATTTTATTATAAATATATATTATACGAAATACTGATCGACTGATAATTCTAGAAACAATAGAACTAGATAACTTAGAACGGGTAGAAGCCAGATTATAAAAAAAATAGGATCTTTCCCTCCTTTCTAATAAGCTATATTTATATTCCGATGAAAATTTCATTAACACGCTCACGCGTATAATTTGTGAATGCAAACGTGTGTTATATATAATCCGTGCACGAGACACACTTTGCAAGGCACAGAGCAATCGCATTTTACATATGCACCTGATACGCAAAAGGCTATTTATGTAAAAATATGCGTAATTAATTATAATATATTATTGATTTTTGTAATTTATTAAATATTGCGTAATTGTCGATCGTCAAAATATTCGTATTGCTTTACGATATTTTTTCCTGCGAAGAAAGAACAAATTCCTCTTTTGAATCAAGTATTCATCATTTTTTGCGATCGCATGGCGGTATGTATGGCTTACCGCCATACTTTTCCCACTCGCGATTGAATTCGTGTTCCAAAACCTCGGCACCGCGTTTCCGCGTTAATCCGGTCTCGTCCAGACTCAACTCGCACATTTGCATATCGTCAATGCCTGGCAAACAGAGAGAAAAAATTCCATCTCCTTCCCCGTCAAAATATAACACAATACACATTGAACGTAATAAATTACACATTTTAGCATAAACATCGTATTAACAGTATTAGTAAGATTCGTTAATAGCCATTAGTAAGATATTAGTAAGATTAATCAATAGTATTATTAGTAAAATTCCGCAAGTTTCAGTTTTATTGTGTCAAAATATAAAAATTTATATCTTGTTTAAATTCTAGTTTTGTTAATTTATTATGATTTACTTGAGACTCGCGGTATTAATAGACTTAGTTTTAAAATACATGCGATTTTATCTCTCACAAAGAAAAACACGGTAGTGATCTCCTCCTTTTGATGATTTGTTTTAATATGTTGTTCTTTGGAATAAAAAAATAAGTATTATATATATTTTGAAAAAAAAATAAGTATTTAAATAAGTATTTTTTTATACGTACCCATACGCGTGTCTACGGGTCTAGGGGTAAAACACTCCTTTAAAAAAAATTAATTTTTTTTCTTTCGAGGTGAATATTTCAGAAACTATAAGAGATAAAAAAAATTTTTCAAAATAAAAGTTAAATGACTTGGACTTGGTAATAAAGAAATTTCAAAATTAATAAAAAAATATATTTAGTGGTGCAGATATTTTGAAAAATAGAAAAAATAAAAATTTTTTTATTATTGTTGTAAAGTACTCTTGCCATTTAACTTTTAATTTGAAGAATTTTCAGCTCATCAAAATCGGAGGGAGACACTTCCGTGCCTTTCCTTGTCAGTCTAAAAAAATTGTATAGTGTATTGTTGTGGGGAAAAGGGCTTTACCTGCCACGAGAAGTATAGGCGGTTTGTCGGGATGAAGTTCCATCTGTCGTGCCACGTATTGTCCATCAAAATGCGCGTACCACCATCCCCTCTTGCCGCCGCTGTGAGTGTTGTCCTGCTGCCCAGCCGCGGACGAACGAACGAAGGGAATTCGGAAGTATCTCTGCGATGACTCGACAATCTGTTGCTTCACCATTGTCCTTGGTGTTTTAGCAGCTGGAAAGAGTAATCATTCAAATTAATCGCGTTGTCGACTCATATTTATTCGTCACAATTAACATTAATTTGCAATTATTACAAATTATTATGTCATTGCTATTTCTTGTAATTTGTAATTATCTACCTTCTTCCATGATGGATTTCGGCGCTCGTTCATTTTCGTCCATGGTTGTTCGCCTGCGATTCCTCGCCTTCCAGGCGTGATAAACCTTCAGCCTACGATGGAACTCGTGACGACAAGCCTGGGAGATTTTTATTTCTTTCAGTAAAGAACATTATATGTATCAATGTACGATTATTTAATTGACATCGTATACATGAACGTACTTCCAGTAATTCGATATCGCAAGACGTATTGATTGCGTCTCGCAACTCTGAATACTTCCACTTGGACAGATCGTATTTTTTGTTGCTCATAGCCGCTTGCTGGTTACGTACCTGTTCGGATCTACAGGCAAATAAACACGCATTAAAAAATAGCAACATTGTACAAATTTCGAGTAGATATCGTAAGCGTTTTCGCTTCGGCGTTAGTTATTAGGAAGCCAAAGGTATTAGTGCATTTGCTGAAATTGGCGAGTCATGCGTGAAAGTACAAAAGACCGGGAAATATTATCGGAGAATAAATTTTATAGTCAATGCACGTGTAAGAATCCACCGAAAATCGACGTGTCATTTTCCATTAACAAAGATTCTTCGAATGACAGTCTACGAATAACAATCTTCCTCGGAGAGAAAGAAAATAATTTATTCGAGAATGAGATTTATCGAAGATTGATCATTAGAAAATAAGACAGTGGATGAATGTTGATTAATTCGAATGGAATTGAACTCGTCGTTAGTCAGTCATGCAAAACAACCCGAGTAATTTATACGATACCTCATTAGTCTGTTGTTGTTCGTAGATACTCGCACATCGGAACCACTGATTTTAAACAACAAAATAATGTCTTATTCCAATTGTCAATGATATTTTATTTTAACGCGATCAAGATTAATAAATTAGATAAACGTTTCAATTGATTATGTGTCTATTCTATTTAATCCATCGGTTTATGATAAACCGTATCATTACCGAGATTCGTTTCTAAATCCTATCAATTAATATATTTCAAAATATTATCTCGATTTTTATAATGTCCATTAAATATATCTATTTAATTTTAGTTTATTTTTTAATATTGTTTCCCGCGTATAATTATTTATATAAAAGTCAATTTTCTTATATAAATGCTATCCTGATTCTTACTTTCGTGCAGGCGGCGGTGAATCCTCCACTTGTCCATTGGATTCTTGAGCGAGTCTGACCGCCAGTTCGTGTCTCTTCTCTCTTGCTCGAGCAATTCTCGATATCGAGTCTCCTCCATGGCCTCTTTTTCCAATTGGGCCTTTGAATAATAAATATATAGAAATAAAGAATATAATACAATTAATAAAATAATATAGAAAGAATTAATGAAATAATAAAATAAATTCTATCAATAATTATTTGAAGAATTTGAGCCAACCTGAAGAGCAACCGCCGCCTTCTGATCCTCTTCCTCCTGTTTTCTCCTTTGCTCTTCTTCGATTTTTCTTCTGGCTTCCATGTCGAGCTTCTTTCTCCTGTTTTCCTCCTCCTCTCTCTTCTTACGTTCCTCCTCTTCTTTACGTTTCTTCTCGAGCTCGAGTTCCTGTTGGATCTTCTTCAACCTTGCCTGTTCCTCGGCGACCTTCTGCTGCTTCACCATATCTTGCAGGGAAGCCATCTGTTTGTTCACCTGATTCACGAGAGATGTATAGAGACCATCAATCTCGGTCTGCGCGATCCTCGGATTATCTTTGATCTTGCGTATGGCCCTCTCTAGGTCGTCGTCCAGCTTCTTCATGTCTTGTGTCGATTTCTCTCGATTTTTCAATTGGCTCGCGGTCTCCTCCATTCGCGTCAGTTGCTTCCGCAGATTCTTGATTTTCACGATACCGCGAATTCGTGGCCGATGTTGTTTCTTCGCAATGTACATCCTGGCTGTCTTTTGCAACACGATCAGGTGTTGTCGCCGGTAGATGATCTTGTTCTTCAGTTTGATCACTGACAGCGCGCAAAACTGCATCTTATTCCAGCGTGACTTTAACAGCCACTTTTTCACGTTTGCGACCAGCCTGCGGAGATTCTCCGGGTCGGATTTCATGATCCGGTCAAACTCGGCGAATTTGCCCGGCTTGAAAAAGACCCGAGTGATACCGAATTTGAAGTCCTTCTGATTCAACTTTAGACTATGAAGCAGCGCCTCACAGAAGAATCTGGGATCCAATTTGGCCAGTTCCGGTGGTAAGTAAGTCTTGTACATGTTATAGAGCTCGTGGAAGGGTACTCGACTGGGATAGCCATGTTCCATCAGTTCCAGAACCGATGTCATTCCCGAGCAACGAAGTTGATTCATGATACTATTCCCGTCGAATTGATGCGCCACCATATCGCTGTTTGGTTTGATGCATCTTATAAAATTTGTTCCCTAAAATATAGAAAGAGAGCGTTTAATAAGAAGATTGAAATAAAAAAAGTGTAAATAAAAAAGTTGAAATATTAAAAGAATTCAAAGAAAAGAAGAAAATATTCTTTACGTTGCTCTTCAGTTTGTCCATAAGTTCGCCTAGTTGCGTTTTGAATTTACTGCCGACACTGATGAAGTTCAGCTTTCCCTTTTGCAAGGAGTGATTGGCAAACTGCGTTCTGAGAAATTTACTACCGCTCTCTTGAATGAGCGCCTCCAGAGAAGCGTGCAATGCATCATTGTTCTTCTCAATAAATTGGTTCTATGAAATAAAAATTCAATTATAAAAATCCAAAACATGTTTATAAAATAATTTAAAAATATCTGAAAGAATTATGATTTTATTAAAAGCGTTGTCGGTGATTTTTGAATGAAATATGCTATTTTACCGTTTGATAGCAGACACCACCGGCGTAATGTCGAATCACGAATCCCTCATCGTCTCGTAATTCTCGATGAGCCTTCAATCGTGACGTTCGTGGTAAAGTGATGCGGAAATGACCGTTCCACGCACGATGAACCTCGTTGGTGAAATGCGCGAAACTATGAGTCGGCAATTTCGATTCCTCGTCCAGCAGGCTGAAGATACCAGTATTCTTCGATTCGATCAAATCTGAAAGTTGGCATGATTCACAATTTATTTCTAAAATTTGTGAATGGGAGTATTATCATTTCATTTGCGTAATAAATTTAAATAAAATATTATTCCAAAATGAACAATGTATTTTAAATAAAAACAAAATTGCCTTCTTTTATCGTTACATTAAAAAATAATAAAATACTCTAAATGATCTGCTATTTATCGGTTAAACAAATTTTTATATTTTTTATCTTAAAAAATAGATTAGATTTTAGACTGTCAGACTTTTAAAATTTTCAATTTCACGCACCGATGCAATCTTGATTATCGACGTAGGAGATTTTCGGGACGTTCAAAGATTCTCGAGCATAAAGTTCTTGCTCGTACTTCAAGATCCGCTCGTTGAAGAACTGTTGAAGTTTCTCGTTGCAGTAATTTATGCAAAACTGCTCGAAGCTGTTGACTTTGAAATATTCTACAAAACAAAAATTTATTCTCTCTCTCTCAGATTTTTGTTATAATTCCAAAATAAATTTTTGATGATTGAGATGATCGATTAATTTGCTCACCGAATCCCGCAATGTCCAGCACGCCGATATAATAACTTGAAGCCTTAAAAGGTATGCTCTTGTTAATCCGCGCGACGATGTGATCAAACAATTTGCTATAAATGGCCTTCGCTAGAGCATCTCGAGCGTTATTAGCCTCATAGACCTTCAGCGGCACCCTATGACACAATCAGACAACAAAAATTAATCAGAAAAGACTGCGCAACATGATAGAAAATTTAAAAAATATTAGCATCTATATAAACTTATAAAATAATAAAAAAAAAATATTGATTGAAATATATGTTGCTGTTCGACTCACATGATAACTGTTCCTTTGATGCCACCTCGACTAGTTTGCATCACCTTCGAGACCAGAGCTTGTCGCAGCTCTTCGGGATCCACCCCCAGTAACTTTGCGGATATCACTACCGCCTTTTCCGAGTCGGCGGTTATCCTGCAGCCGCCCTTGGTGTCTTCCGGATTGTCCTCGAACGTGATGTTACCGAGATGAAGCACCGCCGCTACCATCGTGTAGATCTCCATGCGTTCAGCATCCGTTAAACCGAGTCGAGTGAATGCCTATGATACAATAAAAACAAGAAAGAATATAAATAAACAGTATACATGAGAATATTTAAGAAAAAAGTAGGACAAAAAATTTAGAAAATTATTATAAGCAAAAATAAATATCACTTGAAATGACATTTTCTTTTGATTGTAACGATGCACCCCGTGCACCCCCTTAGTTGCATCGTCTTTCCCGGCATGCGATCCGCGGAACCTGTCGCCCGGCAGAACATCCGCCTGGCATAGGCAGGGGCGCGATGCGCCCACATTTTTTTAAACACTTTAAGTCGTTAGGCTAATAAGCCGAATACCGCCGAGCGTTGCCGACGTGCCCCGAATCGTCGACCGGCGAAAATCCGCGCTCGGCGCGCACCCCGAACCTCTCCGAACGGGCCAAGACCGTACCCGCTTTCCGATAACCCGTTCGAAAGGAATAATATCGCCGCGGGCAATTAGCCGATATAAAACGGGCACGTTCGGCATACTAATCACCCTTTTCCGATCCGCTCACGACAGATGTAGCAGCTCCGAAAACCTAGACCGCTTCAAAAAAACTAAACCCAGATTCGAGGAAAAGAGGTAGAACGAACTCTTCCTCCTTCCATCGAGTAACTCTCGATCCTCGATCAGGCTCACTCCATGTGAACCATAATCCGACCAGGAAAGGAATCAGAGTGCATTCTGATTCCGTCGAGAGTTCTCGATCACCGGTCCATGATCCGACCACCAGACGCTAGTGCATTTTCACGAGGCAGAGAGGAGAGCTACCTCGGACGAGTTATTCTCGTCCGGTACAGCGTTCCTAAGGAATTTCTTTACACCGGGAATTTACGTCGATAATTTGGTAAACACATTCGGCGAAAGATATCGTCATTTCACGGAAATACCGCGCGCATTCTAGTAAACACCGAAAAAAGCAGGCTAGACCGATCGCCCAGACACGCGTCAATAAAAACCATACGCGCTACGTCAACCGGTCATTGACCGCGCCAAATTCATAACAAACGCCCGTAAACAGCATTTAAAGCTACGAATAATATCCGAAACCGAGTTGCATCTGCAATACGCACTATGAGAAGATACTGTACACATTTTTATAATTGCGATACTGTTATACGGCACGCTCACGCCGTGCATTCGCGTTGTAACATCT